GGGGTGGGGGGGCAGAGAGTTAGAAAAAATAAGTGCTAGCCTCGCGCAACCTGAAAGTTGCTTTTATGTAGTGTAAGCAGCTGTTTATGTGTGCCTCTCTTTCCCTCCTCCCCTGGACTGTGAGCTCTGGGGCAATAATGGCAGTGAGCCACTTTTATGATGAAAACAGGAAACGAACAAGCCAATGTTTTATGTTAGTTCATTTACCAAATCTTAATTTGTTCAGCAAATACTCCTTGAGAGCATGCTGTGTGCCAGGCATTGGGGATACAAAGGTGAGCAGAGAAAGACTTGTTTTCATTAAGTTCATAGTCACATGGAGAAGACGGACAAATGTGCAGTTACAGTGGAGTGTGATGAGTGCTTGGATGGAGGAGCTAAAGAGAGCCATAGGTGCACCTAACAGTGCCCTAGAGGGGCAGTGATTTTACAAGGGAAGGTTTTTTAGAGGAAGTAAGGTGTAAGTGTTTACCTCAATCACTTAGGGGGTGGGTGCGGTAAAGAAGATATTCCAGGGAGAGAGAATAGCATGTGCAAAGGCGCAAATGTGTGAGAGAACTTGGTGTGTTGTAGAAACTGAAGGAAATTCATAATGGCTGAGAGCTTACAGCACAAGGAAAGAAGTGGAGAGAGAATGATTGGAAGGGAGTGAGACTGGAGGCAGGGAGACCAGTTGGAAGACTGTTGAGATGATGACCTTGGCAAAGATTGTGCAATGGGAATGGAGAGAAGTGGACTCATTTGAAAAGGTAGAATTGACAGATGTTAATGAATAACTGATGTGGAAAGTGAAAGAGAAGGTAGAGTGAAGGAAGACTCACATTTTTGGGGTTGGTTCCATTCATTTTCATTAGAGAGCACAGAAGGAAGATGAGGTTGCAGAGAGATGGGGAAGGGTTCCGTTTAGGACAGGAGGAGTTTGAAGTATCTGAGAACCATGTAAGAGAAGATGTCAGGGCAGCAGCTGTGGATCCGAAGTTCAGGAGAGAGCTCTGGTGTGGAGGTGTTGATTAGGAGTCATCAGCTTTAAGATGGTAATTGAAGCCAAGAGAGCAGGTGACCATGCCCATGAAATGAATCAGAGTAGTGGTTCTCAGGGGCAGTTTTGTTCCCCATGGGGACATTTGTGATGTCTGGAGACATTTTTGGTTGTTAAAATAGTTGGGGGTGTGTGTGCAGAATGCTACTGACATGTGTTTAGCACATAATGTGTGCTACCCATCCTACAATGCACAGGACAGTCCCGGCACAAAGAATTATTCAGCCCAAAGTGTCAATAGTGTTGAAATTGAGCAATCCTGGTCTAGAGAGAGGATAGAAGGAGCCTAGAAAAAACATTTAAGACTGGCAGAAACTGAGAAGGAGTGAACAGAGAGCTAGTGGTGGGTGGCAAGGGAAAAGTATATTTCCCAAAGGAAAGCAGATCAAGAATATTGAATACTGCTGGGAAGTCAAATAGGATGGGGACTGAGCATGTCTACTGGATTTAGCATAAGGAGGTCATGACCCTGCTGAACGTTGAGGGCAGAAGTGTGTAGCTGCCTTGAGTGAGTAGCAAGAGAAAGAGTATAATAATAACAATAGCAACAGCTATCATTTACTGAGCACTTGCTGCTGGCACTGTGCTAAACATTGTATGTACATATTTCTTTGACTCTCCACAATCTTGTGAGGGTAGATACTGTTGTTACCTTTTTTTGTGTGTGTGAGGAATATCAGCACTGAGCTAACATCTGATGCCAATCCTCCTCTTTTTGCTGAGGAAGATTGGCCCTGAGCTAAATCCGTGTCCATCTTCCTCTACTTTATATGGGACGCCGCCACAGCATGGCTCTACAAGCAGTGCGGCGGTGCATGCCCAGAATCCAAACAGGCGAACCCCAGGCTGCGGCAGCGGAGCACGCACACTTAACTGCTTGTGCCACTGGGCAGGCCCCTGTTGTTACTTTTATAAAAAGAAATCGAGGCTTGAAGAAGTTAAGAAGCCTTCCCAAAATCACACAGCTAGAAGGTGGAACTTGTCTGACTCCAAGGCCCATGGAGATACAAAGATGAAGGGGCTGAGAAGGCCTGGGGCTTCATATAATGAACTTTGGAGTTAGACCTTCATTTGAAGCTCTGTCCCTAGCTAGGTGTTGACCACCGGTGAGTTAGCTAACCTCTCTATACTGAGGTTTCCTCGTTTGGAAAATGGGGGATGAATATAAAATAAAACACTTACTGAGCTTTTACCAAGTACCAATGCTGTTCTAAGCACTTTTACATGAATTACCTTATTTACTGCCCTAACAATCCAACTGGTAGGTGTTTTTATTTATTCCCATTTTACAGGTGTGGAAATTCAGGCACAGGAATAGAAAATCATTTCTCCAGATTATTTAGTTAGTTTTAAGTGGCAGAGCTGGGATTTGAACCCAGGCCATCTTACCTTGAATGATGAACCTACCTACTATGTGCTAGTTATTTTGATGGCATTTTACATGTTACTACTTTTAATCCTCATTAAGCCTTTCCACGGCCCACCCCATTCCATTTTATAGACAAGGAAACTGGGGCACAGGGTTGTTAAGTCACTTGCCCAAGGTCACAAGCTAATTAGTGTTAGAGCTGGAATTGAAATTCAGCTCTGTCTGACCAGAATCTACACTCTTTCTAAGTCACCACAGACCTTCCCTTTCCCTTGAAGTGATCACTAAGCTTCCATAGGTGCTTCTGTTTCTGCCATCTTTCTCTGTTCTCACAAGAAGCCCTGGGAAAGACAGGCAAGGGAGAGGCTCCTGCACACATCTTTGACAAGTCAGTGAACCTCTTGGCACCTTAGTTTTCTCATCTGCAAGTTCCTGTTCACTTGCTGCTGACTTGTAGGATTGCCATGAAGATCAAATGAAAACTAGATGTCCAAGTGCTTTGTAAACCATAAAGTGAGGAATGGTGCTATCAGCTTCATGTGTCAGGTGAAGGAACAGAAGCCCGGTTCTTGAAATAGGCCATCTGCTTATGAGTATGCCTCACGCTGTGTAAGATTCTTTCCAGGGGTAGTCGGTCCAGCTTTTTGTCTTGGCCACATGCACTAGCCTCTTGACTTACATGAGTCCTCTGGCTCCCAACAACTAGCTGCTACCACCAGCAAAGAAGGAGAGTCAGCTGCCAAGAACTTCCCCAGTTGGTATATAACAGGGAGGTAATACAGCATCCTCATTAAAGGCAGATTTTGGGAGGTGAAGAGATCTAGGTTTGAATTTGGCTGTTAGCTGTGAGCCACAGTATGGTATCGTCCAACGTAAGATAAAGAAACACCCTCATAAGATATTTTTCAGCCCATTCAATCCTCATAAAAATAGTCGTTTTTTTTAGTTTTATAATGTGTTTTCTGATGATAAAAATAATTCATAACCTTTTTTTCCCCCAAATGACTTAGATTTAATTATCAGAAGCAAACTGAACAGAAAGCTTATAAGAGAGAAGAATTGCATGTCTGCCTTTTGCAAATTGAGTTGGGACAAAAAGACAGGGGCTGCCTCTCAACCTTATTCCTGCCAAACGAGGACATCCACAGTGTTGTGTTTTTTTGTTTTTTTTGGTGAGGAAGATTGGCCCTGAGCTAACATCTGCTGCCAATCCTCCTCTTTCTGCTTGAGGAAGATTGTTGCTGAGCTAACATCTGTGCCAGTCTTCTTCCACTTTATATATGGGACCCTGCCGCAGCATGGCTTAATGAGCGGTGCACAGGTCTGCACCTGGAATCTGAACCCGTGAACCCCAGGCTGCCCAAGCAGAGCACGTGAATTTAACTGCTACACTACTGGACTGGCCCCTTGTTTTTTTTTTTTTTTTTTTAATGTAAACCTTACAACAGTATAGAACTGGTTAACATAGAATATAAACCCACAAAATACCCCATCAAGAGAAAACCATTGTTAACAGTTTAGTGTGTGTGTTTATACACATGTAAGTATGTACTGTAAACCCCAGGTAAGAAATAGAGACACAGAAAAGTAAGGCAGTTCATTGACTGGTTTTGGGTGGGGTCAAATGTCAACTCTTAATCTTGAGAATGACCCTACGAGGTGCTGGTCTACTAACACCTTGGCAATTCAAAGTGTGTCCCATCAGAAGTGTCTGGAAGATTGTTAGAAATGCAGAATCTCAGGCATCACCCCAGGGACTGATGCCAATCTTCCTTTTAACAAGACCTTCCAGGTTATTTGTGTACACGTTACAACCTACACCCCACTGGACCTTCTTATAGACCAGAGAAAGAACTGAAGCCAAGCTTGGGGACACCCGCAGTACAGCCAGGGTGGAAAGAGCTTCCTCAAAATGAGCTGTGGCCCCTGGCCCTCCCAATGATATCCCCAGGACCCCAGCCTCCACACCTTCTTCCCCGCCCCTCTGTGAAGGTTATGGAGGTCTCTAGTCTATAAGATGCTGGGGTTTTGTTTTGTTTTTAGGCTCTGCTTATTCCTCCTTTGAAGAGCAAAAAGACAAAATGTAGACTATGATACAAGATAAAGTAATGGCCACATGGTCCCAGGTATAAAATACCCTGGTGCTCAGAAAAGCTGCTGCACCTCTATGAGTGTCTTCATTTTGTAAAAAAGGACTAACAGAACCTACGTCTCAGGGACACCATAAAGATTCAAGTGTGCCTGGCATGTAGTCAGTGCTTAATAAATGTTAATATTTGCGAAGTACATGATAGGGTTTACAGTCCCTGACCTGTATATAATCTCTCTCCTCCAGCCCCCCACTGTACCCCTTGTGAGACCATATATTTGATTCATCTTTTTGTTCCATCTTTTCCTTCTCTGCTCGCCCTCACTGATGGAACACATACACAGTCCTGCTTCACTAGTTCTCCAGGGAGGCCATGCTTTCACACCTCCATGCTTTTGCACATGCCATTCCTTCTGCCTGGAATGCTTGGCAAGCTCCTATTCATCCTTCAGAGCTCAGCTATATCAAGTAGCTCCTCCTCTAAGACTCCTACCCCCATCTCTCAGCAAAGCTGATCCCTGCTTCCTCTGTGCTTCCACCATACTTCATGCCTAAAACTTATCTTCTCTCCTCCAGGAGCTGGTCGCTGTCGGCTAAGCAAGGTGGGAGCTGGCCGGCGCCCGCCTCCAGCTCGAGTAAGGGTGGCTGTGCGACTGCGGCCATTTGTGGATGGAACAGCTGGAGCAAATGATACCCCCTGTGTACGGGGCCTGGACAGCTGTTCTCTAGAGATTGCCAACTGGAGGAACCACCAGGAGACTCTTAAATACCAGTAAGGTTCACTGGCCACTCTTCCCTCCTATCCCTCTCAAATTAGGGATTGCTTAGGCCTGCTCACATTATCAGTTGCCCAGATAGTTTCTCATACCTGCCTCCTCAGGATCCTTGCTGCTTCCTTAGCATAGCTTTCTTCTCCACACCTTCATTTGTTCCTTTAGGAAATGTTTACGGGTGCCCACTGTGATGGGTCCTCTGTAGGATACTGTGGGGAAAGACTGGAGGTTAAATCAGACACATTACTACTGTTCACAGTCTTATGGGGGGAATAGGCACAAAGAGGGGAAGGAGCAGCAAAGGTGAGTAGGAGATCTCCGACTAGGGTCTGGGGGACATATGGGAAGGGTTGGGGGAACATAGACCAGCCAGCCAACCTAGGCTGCAGCTGGGTGGTGTCAGAGAAGACCACTCAGATATGAGGACAGAACTCCCAAGGGCAGCTACTTTAAGATCCCATTGGAGGGGGCCGGCCCTGTGGCTTAGCGGTTAAGTGTGTGCACTCTGCTACTGGCGGCCTGGGGTTTGGATCCCTGGCACGCACTGACGCACTGCTTCTCCGGCCATGCTGAGGCGGCGCCCCACATACAGCAACTAGAAGGATGTGCAACTATGACATACAACTATCTAGTGGGGCTTTGGGGAGAAAAAGGGGGAAAAAAAAGGAAGAGGATCAGCAATAGATGTTAGCTCAGGGCCAGTCTTCCTCAGCAAAAAGAGGAGGATTGGCATGGATGTTAGCTCAGGGCTGATCTTCCTCACAAAAAAACAGATCCCATTGGAGATTTAAAGTTCAGACTCCTTGCCTGTCATTCTAGGCCAGGGGGTGGCAAACTATAGACTGCGGGTCAAATCTGACCAGGAGTCTTTTTGTAAATAAAGCTTTATTGGAACACAACCACACTCGTTTACTTATAGATTGTCTATGGCTGCTTTCTGACTACAATGGCGGAGTTGAGTAGTTGTGAAAGGAACCATATGGCCCACAAAGCCTAAAATATTTACTGTCTGGCTCTTTAAAGAAAAAGTTTGCCAACCCCATTCTAGGCCCTTGACAATTTGGCTTCCATTTCTTTCCAGCCTCATACCCCCAACATATGCTATACTCACACTAATCCCTGCTATGGCCTCAGCTTCTCCACCAGAGTGCAGTGTGAATGGACTACAGGTGTGTTGAGTCTCTAGTCATAAGCAGCATCCTCTATTGACTCCATTATGGTGTACAAATACTACTTTCTGTATATACTGTGATGTGAAAAAGATTGGGAAGCTCTGCCCTTTTACACCATGTCTTGTCTGTGTGCTATTTTTGATAGTTAGAACATCTCTCTCTTCTCTCTTGGGCAAAATCCTCCTTCCTCAAGCAGAATCAGTTACTCTTTCTAGTGTGTTCTCCTCTTCATTTCCTGAATCACAGCCAAGTATGAGTATCTATCTAACCCACTAGACTGCAGAACTCCCAAAAGCAGGGACATCAGATTCATCTCCATATTCCTAACACCAGTACAGGGGCTGGGATGGATGGTGTTCAGTGGGTGCTTTCTGAGGTCTTTGTGCAAGAAAAGGGATAGAGACTCTTTTAAATCCGAGCCCAGTGTTATCCTCTAGGTCTAGGTGAGAATGGAACCCTCCACTAATTTCCTCCTTTCTTCCTGCTCGCAGGTTTGATGCCTTCTATGGGGAGAGGAGCTCTCAGCAGGATATCTATGCAGGATCTGTGCAGCCCATCCTAAGGCACTTGCTGGAAGGGCAGAATGCCAGTGTGCTTGCCTATGGGCCCACAGGGGCAGGTGAGGGAGCCAGATAGGGAACAGCTATGGGTCAGAAAGGGCTAGGGCGTGGGGAGGAAAATCTCACAGCTCTCTCCACTCTTCCCCAGGGAAGACACACACAATGCTTGGCAGCCCAGAGCAACCTGGAGTGATTCCCCGGGCTCTCATGGACCTCCTACAGCTCACAAGGGAGGAGGGTGCTGAGGGCCGGCCATGGACCCTCTCTGTCACTATGTCCTACTTAGAGATCTACCAGGAAAAGGTGAGGCCCTGCTCTGGTTGGGGAGGGAAGAGACAAAGGGTCAAAATAAGACCCAGTTCTAAAACATGAAGCTCTGCTCTAGCGAGGAGGTAAGACGTGGAAAGACAGAGGTTGGGGTAGCAGACGGTACAACTTGTGAGAATCCAAGAGAGAAAAGGAGACTGATCCCCAAGAAGTAAGCAGCCTGTGTCTGGAGAATTGGCCCTACCTCTCACTGCTCAAACAGGTATTAGATCTCTTGGATCCTACATCAGGAGACCTGGTGATCCGAGAAGACTGTCGAGGAAACATCCTGATTCCAGGCCTCACACAGAAGCCTATCACTAGCTTTACTGATTTTGAGCAGCACTTCCTGCCAGCCAGTCAAAATCGGACGGTAGGAGCCACCCGGCTCAACCAGCGCTCCTCTCGCAGTCATGCTGTGCTCCTGGTTAAGGTGAGGCCCACTGACAGGGGTGAGGACCTCAGAAGCCCCTACAGCCTGAGCTAAGCCTGGGGCCCTTGCTCTTACCCCCAGGTGGATCAGCGGGAACGTTTGGCCCCATTTCGCCAGCGGGAGGGGAAACTCTACCTGATTGACTTGGCTGGCTCAGAGGACAACCGGCGCACAGGCAACAAGGGCCTGCGGCTGAAGGAGAGTGGAGCCATCAACACCTCCCTCTTTGTACTAGGCAAAGTGGTAGATGCGCTGAACCAGGGTCTTCCTCGTGTGCCTTACCGGGACAGCAAGCTCACTCGCCTGTTGCAGGTCAGGCCACCCATCTCAGGGCAAAAGGAGCTGGAGAAGGAGGTTCTCAGGCCTGCTGGGGGGTTGGGGAACAGCAATCAAGTAATGGGAAGGCGGTGCTTCTGACCCACCCACCCTGCCCAATTCCCATCCCTTAGGACTCTCTGGGTGGCTCAGCCCACAGCATCCTCATTGCCAACATTGCCCCCGAGAGATGCTTCTACCTAGACACAGTCTCTGCACTCAACTTTGCTGCCAGGTCCAAGGAGGTGATCAACCGGCCTTTTACTAATGAAAGTCTGCAGCTTCATGGTGAGGACTGGGGTTGGCAGGAGTGGAAAGGCCAGGTCTGGACAACTGAGGAGTTTGCTGAATCCACCAAGCATCAGCACAGAGGCTGACCACCCCACCTTCTTCCCCTAGTCTTGGCACCTGTTAAACTGTCTCAGAAAGAACTGCTAGGCCCAGCAGAGGCAAAGAGAGCCCGAGGCCCTGAGGAAGAAGAGACTGGAAGTCCTGAGCCCTCAGCAGCTCCAGCCTCTGCCTCCCAGAAACTCAGGTGAGCAGAGGGGGAGGGGCCTTGGGCATATTTCCTTTCCTGTTGTGTCTGGATTGGGTGCAGAGCACCAGTGGGTCTAGCCTGTAAGATCCTTGAGCTGCTGACTTGTTCCTCTCCCATTCACCCAAAATCCTACTCTCTTGAATTTACTGAAGTGCTAAGATCAATTTCTGTCCTCGGTGTCACTGCCTGGGGATCTAAGGAGGCCACCTAGAGCTCCTCGTCCCCTCCCTTTCCATGTTCCAACCTCGTTAGGCAGTCAGCAAAACCTTACATTTTGGGGCAGCTGTTTCAAGGATGAGCACTTTTGCTTCTGGCTCAAGGAGTAATCTGGATCAGGTCTTTCAGGTCCAGAGGATAAAAGAAAAGCAAAGGAGACAAGAGATGAAGAGATGGTTTGCTGAGACCTCTCAGCCTGCGTTAGAGTCCAACCTCTCCATGACTCTCCAAGGAGCCGGTTGCTGTCCTAACTTTGCCCTGCTTCTACCCTCAGTCCAAACCAAGACTCTCTAAACTAAGTCCCTTCTGTGTGTGTGGCCTGCCTCCCCAGCTCTGATAGCCCCACCTCATGGCCCAGGATGTACTAATCCTCAGGTCACTCCTGTTTAGTGGTCCTGCTTTCTGTGTCTAACCATGACTTTCTAAGGAGCCAGCTGCAGTTTTAACTTTGCCCTGTTTCTACCCCGAGACCAAATAAAGCCTCTCTGAACTGTATAAGTCCTAAGACTGCTGAACAGAGGTGACCTGAGGAGGCCAAGGATTAGTGCACATTCTGCCCCAGGGGGATATTGTAGTTGAGGAAGGATGGCATACATGAAAAAGTGCTTGCTCAGGCCCGGCTCAGTGGCTGAGTGGTTCAAGTTCTGCGTGCTCTGCTTTGGCGGCCCGGGTTCATGGGTTCAGATCCCTGGTGCGGAACTACTCCACTCACCAGCCATGCTGTGGCAGTGTTCTACATACAAAAAAATAGAGGAAGATTGGACCGGATGTTAGCTCAGGGCTAATCTTCCTCAGCAAAAAAACAAAAAAACAAAACAAAAAAACTTGCTCACTCAGAACCTCATCTCTCAATTTTGTCCTTCTCAAGCCACTTGTCAGCAGTCCCCTCTCCTAAGTGCACAAACTCAGAGAAACGTACACAGCCGCACATCTGTATTACATGTGAACAGGCAAGGTTTCTGCCTGAAAGGCACCCTGGGTGAGCTCAGAGATGGGGCACATCAGACCTAGTCAGACCCTGACGTCAGGGGTCTCATGTTTCAGGAGGGGATATTTCCTACAGGAATATCAGTATATGATGCAAGGTAAGATAGTAGAGAGTGTAATAAGGAAGGAGGAGCTTTTTGCTCTATGAGAGCCAGGAAGGAAGAAATGACTTCTAGTCTTCACCCATATTTTCTGATCCTGCTCTTCCTAGGTACTTACACACAAAGAACAGGGCAGTCTCTGTCCTTGAGGAGCTAGTTCACAGTGTAGGAAAGAAGATAACACAGTCAAGCTGGGCATCATGGGAAAGGTGGCATCAAACGGACTTTGAATGATAATTGAGATCAGATGTGAGAAAATTCCAGACAGAAGGAGCAAATGTTAGGCATCGTCATGCTCAGATTAAGTCAGGACTCTGCTTGCATAGGCCTTTGCTGCTGCCCACAGGAGAAAGGCTTGGCATTTGAGGTCTTCAGTGGCTTTCAAAACCCTACTGAAGGTGACCACCTCTGTGAACCTTTCCCCAACTGCTCCTCCAAATGGACAGACACAAAACCCTTGCTGTCACCTTATCATGGTCTCTTACTTTGTTACAGTAAGTACGTCCAGGGCAGGGCACTGTCTTAGATTCTGAATACCTGGAACACAGGTGTTGATTAAATGCTGTTCTCATCTGATCTCCTGGCATCCCTGAGAGGTTAGTTGGGCAGGTAGCACTCGATCCCCATTCACCTGATGAAGACACTGCACCCAGAGAGTCTGGATAACTTGCTCATGGTTGCCCAGCAAGTTAACACTAGGGTTCTGGAAACAGAAAACACCATGTTAAGGCATGATAAGGGGAATCCTGCTGCTGGAGGGGTTGATGAGAGAAGAGGTAGGTAGAGAGTAACCTCTTTGTCTGCTTAGCCCCCTACAGAAGCTAAGTAGCATGGACCCGGCCATGCTGGAGCGCCTCCTAAGCTTGGACCGGCTGCTGGGCTCCCAGGGGAGCCAGGGGACCCCTCTGCTGAGCACCCCAAGGCGAGAGCGGATGGTGCTCATGAAGACAGTGGAGGAGAAGAATTTGGAGATTGAGGTAAGTCTTGGGGAGGTGGGGGCTGGGATTCCTACTGGCCTTGAGAAGCAATCTGAGAATCTTCAGATAGGGAAGGATACTGAAAGGCTGGATCAGATCCAGTTTTCACCCCACACCAGAATCCCTCAGTTCTCCAGCTCCTGCTTGAATGTCCCTAATGTGGCTGAACTTTGAAAAATAATTGAGATCAGATGTGAGAAGAAAAATTCTAGGTAAAAGGAACAAATGTAAGACATTGCCATTTCCTGAAACACAGCTCAAATTAAAGTAGGACTCTGCTTGAACAGTCCTTCCCTTCAGTGTTTCACAAAGTGGCTTATTCCACCTCTGGGCAGCCCTGATCATTAGAAAGCCCTTAACTATATTGGGCTCCAACTGTCTCCTGGTAGCTTCTCCCATTGGTCCTCACCCTGCCCTCTAGGGCCTCAGAGCCCTGCACACTCAATTTCCTAATTCACTGTCCTTCAAGCTGCCCTCGAGTTGGTTCTGGGTCACATCTCTTCCTGATCCTTTCCAACAGAGGCTTAAGATGAAGCAAAAAGAACTGGAAGCCAAGGTGCTGGCCCAGGAGGCTACGGACCCAAAGGAGAAAGAGAATTGCTCTCCCATAACGCATCGACCCCTTGGCCGCCGTACAGTCACGGTGCCTAAGCCCCTCAAAAAGGCTGTGGTGATGCCCCTACAACTGAGTAAGTTTGGCTCTGGGGGCCAGGAGGGCCCAGATAACTGAGATCTCAGAAGGGAGGAGGTGTTAGGAGCAGCTGTCCTCATGTTACTCATGTCCTTCCACCATATGCCAGCCCCAAGGAGGGATGAAGAGGATCTGAAATACAGCTGGGTGTTCTGCTCTAAGACATTTAGTACAGTGGAGTAGACTGACAAGTGCATGATTGATTACCATGCAAGACCAACCGAGATTACTTTCAAATACAGGTATAAGAAAGGTCATGTGGAAACACAACAAAAGAAGAGGTTAACTCAGGGTGGAGGGAAACGGGAATCAGAAATGGGAGAACTAGGGGGCCAGCCTGGTGGCGTAGTGGTTAAGTTTGCGTGCTCTGCCTCTGCAGCCCAGGGTTCGCCGGTTCGGATCCTGGGCACAGACCTGCACATGGCTCATCAAGCCATGCTGAGGCGGTCTCCCACAAAGAAGAACTAGAAGAACATACAACTAGGACATACAACTATGTACTGGGGCTTTGGGGAGAAAAAAAAAAAAAAGATTGGCAACAGATGTTAGCTCAGGGCCAATCTTGGTTAAAAAAAAAAAAAAAGAACCAAGTGGCTATCAGGGAGGGTGACTCCACAATTGTTGCTTTCAGTTCAGGAGCAGGCAGCATCCCCAAATGCTGAGATCCATATCCTGAAAAAGAAAGGCCGGAAGAGAAAGGTAAGAGTACCTGGAGGCTTAAGCTACACCTAGAGCCTAGAAGTAAGGGGTAGTGAGCTCTAGAGGGAAGAGCCCTGGCCATGGAGTTACCGAACCTGTCAGAACACTTACCAGCTATTTACAGTTCTTCCAAGGTGCTTACCCTCTGAATGCAGAGGTGCCTCACAGGGCATTTAGGATGCAGTGCAGTAATATGAATGTAC